GGGTCTTCCCTAATAACTAGAGCTGCTGTGATAATATCTCAACTCTCCGACAGGAAGACCTGTGAGTTGAAACAGATTTTAAAAAAGTTCGAGGGATAAGGCCTTAAATACTGAGGAGCCATGGGCATATGCAGGAGCGGCGCGGATTTAGCTGATGGTATTGCGGAACGAAATACGGCGTTCAGGTTGACAGACGCCACGCATTTAGGTAACTACTTGAAGCCAGCAGCCCGCTCAAAAATGACAATCAAGCCTTTCGCGGGACGAAAAGAATAAAAAAAATAAAAGCAGAAGAGGCATACTTACGGGTTGTTATAACTGGCCCAGTAGGACTTCTCGCGAAGGACGTTAGTCACGTCCGCCGACTGAACAAATCCCCTAAAATCAGAATGCACGTAATGTGGATGCACTTCCCGTTTGGCGATCACGCGTGAAATATATCTTTTTTATTGTAAAGACAAGGGACATGAGTCTTACGGAATCTGCTCAGCTACCCACAGCAAGTCCCGCGGTGGCAGGGGTTTCGACGGTTCAAAGAGTTTGGTGTCGAATACCATCCACTGATTGTTGTAACTAGATACGGAAACAAACGAAAGAAAGACAATGAAAAGTAAACCCTCATCTCCATACCGTTCTTCGAAAACGAGTAATGATACTAATAATCACCAGAAGACGAAGAAACGGAAGAAAATAACGTGAGTGCGGTATCAACACAATTGCCAGTTGCAAAGACAAACTTCCATACACATCGAACCCGCTCAAGAAGAGGTTTCTTTTTGTTTAGAGGTTGCGAGTTCGAGGCTCGGATGGGACGCCACTTGGGTCTGGATATGACTGGCTGTCGACAGCTAAAAAGCCAGAAATGGCCATTCCAGTCTGCCTTGTCTCTGTCAGTAATATTGTCTGCCTACATTACTAGGTGTCAGGACCTCTGTGGAGACCCCGAGTAGAGCGGGACAGATGAATTTCATTAGCGGTCGGTGGAACGTTCATCAGTGAGTGTCAATATTCCTCGACCTAAGCCGTTAAGACAACGAGCTCGTGTCTCAATGGTTAGGGCGTTTGACTCTGATCAAATAGTTCATGAGTTCGAGGCTCGGATGGGACGCCACTTAGGTCTAGGCATGACTGGCTGACGACGGCTAACAAACCAGAAATGGTCATTCCAGTCTCCTTTGTCTTTTTCCGGCAATACTATCTGCTAATATTAACCTTAATTAGTTGACCTGCAGCATTTATTTAGCTAAAGCCATTTTTTACCAGATGTTTGAACGGGTATTTCCCTAACTTCGTCTACTTTAGAGTGGTTGGTGGAACGGGGTCCGTTCCGGGTCCTCATGTGGGATGACCTATACTCAGACGAGGTGCCAAAAAGATTCTCAAACTTGCCGGCAAACAACCCTAATGGACTAAATAAGGAACCAAGAAGCCAAAAGGTATATGGGAATCTAAAAACCACAAAGTTGGCGTTTCAGCGAAAAAACTTCAATTTAGGTAACTTTTGTTGTCCAGTAAGAGGCTATTTTTATTCCACATGAACAGTTGCGTTATCAAATCAGCACGGAAAGTCTCCTGCATAAACTGCGCAGCGCAGCAGTTAGCAGGAACCTCTTCCTATTGATCCAAAACTGTTTGAACAAGTCGGGCGCCAACAGTCCTCGGGGATACCCGTGGTGAGTAGCATCACACAGGGCTCAGTTTTAGGTCTCACATTATTCCTGGGTTTCATCAACGACCGGGTCAGAAACGTATGCTGTGATTTCATCCTGTTCACTGACAGCATGAAATAGCGGAAAACTGTCCAAAATGCAACAGATGAAAACAATCTGCAAGCTAATTTGAACAGGTTGGAGGACTGGTCAAAGTACTGGCCTATGCCCTCAAATGTAAGTAAATGCAACTTCCTCCAAATCGGCAGTTGTAGAGCATCTGGCCCAAAGGTTTATTCCTTACATGATACACTGCTGCAACAAGTCGATAGTCAGAAGGTCTTAGGTCTATGGATTACTTATTCACTCAAACCGACGCTGAACTGCATACAGAGGGCGAAGTCAGGCAGATGCATATTGCAACTGATTAGATGCATCTTTATGGGATCTGAAAACGAAAGCTTTTCCAAGACATTTGCAAGCTTTGTTCGGCCGCACCTAGAATTCGCTATACAGGCACGGAGACCCCTGACTGTCCAAGACTGTACAGTGTTAGATAAGGTCCAAAGCCGAGGAACAAAAATCATCAAAAGCCTGGGAGCATTGCCCTATGGAAGCAGACTATCAACCCTCAAGCTATTTCCCCCTTCATACTGGCAACTACGAGGGGATCTCAGATTAACTTTCCGTATTCTGAATGGCCTGGATTGTCGGTTTGTCCCCGATGATTTTTTTACCCAGCCTAACACGCCCACTCTGCCCGGTCAACCCCTAAACCAACGTCCCGCCAAAACAAGGATCAGTGCACATAAATATTTCTTCAGTAACAGAGTGGTTGCAGCGTGGACTGCCCTTCCCGAAGAGGTTGCCTTCTCAACCTGTGTGAAGATATTTAAGACCAAACTGGACATGTAAAAAAATTTAATTCACCAGTGTTAGTTTGACTCACTGGGGAGAGTATTACACATACTTAATGTACTACTCGTGCTATGCGAGTAGCCATATTTTATTACAATTTAGACCCCGCCAGCGTTTTGCTCTTCGCTTGCAAGCATGTAATTGAAGCATTTTTTTTCTTTGTTTCGATTAATGCATTCTCTTAGCCACTTTGTTGCCAATAGGGGAGCTTAAAGGCATTCGCCTATCTTTCCCTAAATAAAATCAAACTAAAAGACTCTCAAACTTGCCGGCAAACAACTCTAAGGGACCAAATAAGAAAGCAAGAGGCCATAATGTGTATGAGAATCTAAAAACCCTAAAGTCGGTGTTTCAGAGGAAAAATAACTTCAATTTAGACAACCCTTGTTTTTCAGTAACAGGCTACTTTTATTCCGTATTAACAATTGCGTTATCGGATTAGCACAGACAGCTTCTTGCATTAACTTCGCAGCGCAAGAGTTCGTGGGACCCTCTTCCTATGGCTCCCAATACTTTTGACCGAACGATCCCAAAGAGTACAAGTCGGGCGCCAGCAGTCCTAGGTGCTTCATGTAGACATCTGAATGAGGCCAACCCTGGGGGAATTCATTCTCATCGCATATCCGCGCCCTCTTCATTACAATAACCCTAGCTGAACGGAGTATATTAGGAGACGCTATCAAGCGTGGCTTGGACAGTCAGAATGAGTTTGTTCCTTCTGGCACACTCACTTACATCAGCTGACTTTACTGCAGCCTGAAATATACGGTAGACTTCAAAGCTCATGAAATGTCAACCAAAATTATGAAATGCGTTTTCAATTCAAACAAATTACTTAAATAAGGTTTTAATGTTGGCCAGTCTGTAGCCTAAGCTGAAAATATTTTAGTCAAGTCAGGATACCGGCTTTTAAATTGAGCCATCATTTTTCTTCCCTCCATTAACATTTAACTCTTCTTATATATACATCAGTTGGTCCAGTGTGCCCATTAGAAACCGATTTTGACCCCATTATTGTTTAGTTGAACTAAAACAATGAGTTCATCAGCACAAGAAGCTAGCGGTAATTGGCGGGAGTCCTATTTGGTCTACGTTTTGCGGTATACTGCGCCAATTGCAGTATTTGGCCATTAGCGAATGCTTGTAATACCCCGGTGTTGTGTGAATTCTCTGCCTTATTCAAAGTGAATCGAGGATGTTTTTCCGAAAATTTTGAAATGATATTTTCAAAATAAAGCTGATCTCTCCATATTCCCCTCTTCCGTTCAGGTTCTTTTGACCGCCTGCAACAAATGGATTCTGTAAAAAAATTGCTACTTAAGTAATACGTATTTTTCAAATTGATTTTCACTGCCCCTAGGAATTCAAACATATTTTTATAGAAATCATGCACAATAATATTACTTATTTTACTAGTATATTGTCAAATAACGTCTTTTTTAAATTTTACCGAAAGGAACGACATTTTATAGCTTCAAAACGTTTTATAATGATGAGATTTTGGAAACTGTGAAATGTTCCTTCATAACACAGTGTGGTCATTAATGTATTTATGTTTTCTATAAAGTATACAACATGATCCGCAATAATTGAGCAAACCAGTGACGATTACGCAAACTCATCCTCATAGGGCAGAGAAATGTGTGATTTTACTTTTAATATATGCATACAGCATGTAGTTTGGAAGCCCAGAATGTCAACCGGGTTCAAAATTATTCGGCAGTCTGGAAAGTTTTTTTAACCGGAAGATACCCCTTATTCAAGTATAAAATTTGATGAAGGCGTAAGCTGCTACCAAACGAGTACAAGAGAGAATATTTTTGTGCAAGTTTTATACAAAATGAATTTGGTAGGACTGCCCTTACACGTCCTACTTGCAGTAGCCCGACTTTCCCTTTTCTCGTTAAATTCCGTCAATATAAGCTCAAATTTCCATCAATAGGCATCAGTTGCCTTAGCAACAGGAGTCCACGTAGATGGAGTTAATTCTATTTAGCTCATTAAAACCACAACATTTGGCTTTAATTCAATATACTTTGGATACTTTCGACACACTAACCTATTCCTTTACACTTATTTACCAAGAACCAAATGTTTAACTGCCAATTCCGTAAGATAGTTGGGCGGGGGAGGGGGAATAGATCTTTAGCGACCCTACAAGACAGATTTGCCATGTATTTGAATTTATAAGACCATTAATGAGTAAAAAGCCTATGATTTAAGTAGTCATTTTTAGCAAGTATACTTTTTGTAGACAGCCAGAACGAGGCGTCCTGCGGTGAGAGTAGACTGTGCGATACTACTCAAGAAAGTTCTGCAAAACAAAAAACGACCTTCCGAATTTCGGATGGTGTTTCAGGATGTAGCGAGTAAATTCTGTATAGATGACCTCTGATGAACTCTTAACAGCCAGACAAACACATGTAATGAGCCAGTCTGAACCCTCGGCGCATCGGAAACACAGCACGCACAGCTAGTTGTTTACACCCATCACCCGCCCATCACAATTGCGAATGTAATAAACCAGTGCGGCCAAGGCTGCATATGTCCGGTGTATGCAGTGACACAAGCTGCACAACAAAAATTCCAGGGCCGCAACACATGCTGAGAGATCAAATCAGAACGCACATGCCTCCTGGTCGTAGTAACCAGCGTCGAGAGACAGAAGTGATTAAAATCTGGGATGCATGCTGGCACGTGTCTGCAATCAGAGGCGCCTACTCTCGAGTAAATAAGAAATCCAGACAACTAAGCCGGGGGAGGGGACAGATTACTTAGTGACCAGAGGCTGCAAATTCTGATAAACTAGTTCTATCGCATGGTTTTAATTGAGTATTTAGCAAAGGTAATTTAAGTGGTGCAACTCATACACCCCTAGACCAGCATTTTTTCCTACGGAAACGGTGGTTATAGGGGTTTTGGGGGTGGGGCAATTGGATAAGCAGCGAAGGAAATTTGCAGAAGTTAGTGTAAAGCGGAAAAAATGTAGTTGAATTTGTTTCCCGCAGCTGCTGGGAGTAAGTTGTTCCACATGTAAACTGGAGGTGTGCGCGGCGCTCCACGACGCGGCTTATACTAATCTAACCCCAGAACGGTTAGTTGAACCTCAGGTAAGTTGAAGTAGACGACCTCTTAACCACCATTTCTATTTTTCAGGAATTTCAAGAAAGCTGCAGTTTGATAACCGGGTTTTTTCCGCAATACGTTTAACGTTAATACAGACTATGAAAATCTACAGAGACAAATCAACAACGTTTCTATATACAATAAAATAAAAATGCATATAGCAGTTATTAAAGTATATTCCACTGCCTATCCTAATTCCCCACCCATAAAACCCTATAACCACCGTTCACGTAGGACAAAATGCTGGAACCAGGGTGCACTACTTAAACTTTTGTTGCTGAGTATTTTTTGTGCATTTGAATCAGCATAAATCAGGAGAAAACAAATGCGTCACAGCGCAAAATACAGAAATATGCCCTCCGAGGTGTCCAGTTCGCAGACAAATGTTGGCGTAACACTGCCAGATAGGACTCACGTTCCACTGTTTTCACGACTGAAGTGCGAAACCCACTCGGGTCCACCGCGAGCCAGACGATTGGCTATCATTACACGGAAGACCTCGAGGACGGAGGTGTTGAGACCATGGCGCACAAATGACCACAAATCAGGATTGTGGTTCCCATTGGTTGTTTCCAAGGTCACCTTTGGGGGGGAAGGGAAGGAAGAAGGCCGGTGGGCGTGAGTGTGATGGAGAGGGAAAAAATGAAAGGAAGTGTGCGGCTTTTGGCCCAAACAGCAAGAACTCGGTGACAATTTTGCTGTCTTTGATTCAAGATGGAAAGCACATAGTGAAAAATAAGAAGATAGAGGAGGAGGAGGAGGAGGAGGAGGA